GCTTACCATAACATTTTCCGGACATTTTTCGTGACGGAGACTTTGGGACTTTATTAAGAGAGAACTGAAGACTATTACCAATATTGGTGAGTGAGAGAAAATGAAATAATAAGGCAGAAATAAAGGAAAAAACTGAAGATTGCACTTTGTTTACAGTCTGTTGAGGCGTGGACCAAGGATTTACTCCACCGGTCTGAACTGTCACTTTTTTATACGTATGACTGGTTATAATGGTACTGTGTTGTGTGGGTATTTACTCCTGGGGTGCTGCTTTACCCTGGGGGGTTAATCACTTGTTGGGGAAGGGTCACAAGAGGGGGAAAATTGGAAGTTAGTGACCTACTTGCGGGTAAACCTTTGGGACCATAGGCGCGGCCCAGCCAGCCAGACCTCAATCATCATTGTAACAGTGAAGCACTGCAGTAGGCCTCCTGGGGTATGCTAGGCAGCAGCTACTCCCACCCACGATCATCCCCACTCGTGTATTTATGTAACTTAAAACTATTAAGTGCTTGTTTCAGTGTCACTTCTCAGTAGTTTATTCCACTCGTCCACAATTCTCTGTCAGACCTGTGATTTCCTGTATACGTTCTTTTTCTAAGGTTATCAAACTTTAAGTCGCTGCTTCTTGTTCTCTCTTAGTGATATATATTCAGCACATCATTGATATATCAGTTATTCCTATCAGCCATTAATGCTGTATTACTTTTTGGTTTAGCACTTTAAATGCTCATAAATAATCTTCATTTGTTAACCTCAGTCCTATCTCCTTGCAGATTAGTGCTTTTAATCTTCCTTCAGAAAAGACATATCTGATAGTTAATTAACTTTGTTAACCATCTATCCGTGTTTTTGAAAGCAATTGTCCTCTAATGCTGTGACTAGAATTGTGCCACATAATCTATATGAGGCATTATAAAAGTTGCAACATAATCTATATGAGGCATGACTCACAAAATTGTAATCACATGACTTAAAAAAAAACGCAGTATGGTTGGGGCTTAAACTTCCGGCAAGTGAGTCTTAAAAACTCCAGGCCATTGTGTAAACCACTGGGCCAGTTGGCTACAATAAGATTCATCCAATTAGGTATATTTATACACCATAGGGAGGTTAGCATGGGTCCCACTGTGACCACAAATGCAAGTTTTTACAGACGACTCTCCCGCCAGCATACTATGGTTTGTTTGCAGTTGTGTCATAACAATTTTGAGTTGTGATGACGGTTTTGAGGGAACTTGAGCTAGAGTTTGTAATGGCCATGCTGGCAGGAGATTCATCTGTAAAAACTTGCATTCGTGGTCACAATGGGATCCATGGTAATCTCCCTATCGTGCATAAATATACCTAATTGAATGGATCTTTTTGTAGCCATCTGGCCCAGTGGCTTATGCGCTGGCCTGGAGTTTTACGACTCGCTTGCCGCAAGTTTGAGCCTGACCCATACTGTGGTTTATATGAAGCCTTACGAAAGTTGCCACATAATCCATATGAAGCATTATAAAAATATGAAGAGATGTATGATCTTGTGACTTCCTTTATACTTCTTTGTATTAAGTAACCAATTAGCTTGGTGGATACTTAAACAATTATCTTGCTTGGCTTTACATTTCTGCTGACCAGAGCAATTTTATAATGCATATGGGATAGATTTTATTTTTAAATGTAATAATGCAAACCAGAGCTCCAAAGTCTTTTTTTTTTTCTTTCATTTAGTTTGATTTATTTCAACATTTATTTGTGCTCTGGTAATACGACATGACCTCAGTGGATTTTGGCAATTCATATAGTTTAGTTTGAATTGTACAACATTAAGTTTATTTTTGTTTTGAGATATTTTGTTGTGCCCAACCTAAAATAACTTAATCTTACTGTGCCAGTGGTAGATGTGTGTGCTTACATTTGGTCAGGTGCGTGATATGACTATACTAAGCTGTGCAACCAAAGTAAATGTATTATTTTTTGCTAATGTCTCCCAAAATATAAATTTTCTGTCCATACCATCATCCTATTTAAATCATCAAACCTGAAACTCAGGTGTCCTAGGATATTACTTGTAGCCTGTATTTAAGATTTTATTTGTAGCTAACTCATGATTTCTTGGCAGGAAGCCATTTTTTAGCTTGTCTTAGGACTTTTACTAGTTTGTCTTTGTGTTCTTTTTAAGGTGTTGACACTAAAATTACTGCTTATTTCAGTTTTGGAATATGTACAGCATTTTCATTATCCCCTTATTCATATGCTGTACAGTATCTATTGAAGTTTGCTAGGGTAGCATGAGTTATTTTTTGAATACCTTTGAAGAGTTTCGAGAGTTTCACTACTCTTGGAGCCCAGCTATGGGCCAGGCTCATCTGGTGCTTGCCTGGTCAACCAGGCTATTGCTACTGGAGGCCCACTACCCCACATATCCATCACAGTCTGGTTGATCTGGCAACTGGTGAAGATGCTTGTCTAGTTTCCTCTTGAAGGCTTCCACACTTACCCCAGCTGTGTTTCTGATATCTTCTGGTAAGATGTCAAATAGTTTGGGATCTTTGGTCACATTAGCCATCTCTCACCAACATAGTAACCCCCAAAAAATGAAACATTCACCATTATTCATTAATAGCAGTTTTGCCAGAGGTGTGCAAACAACAGCATACCCATTGCTCCTTCTGAGTGTAGACACTGTAAGTACTTCCCACTTCCAGGACTGTGTGGCTAACTGGTTTCCCAAAATCCCTACATAAATATTTCCTTTCTCACATTCCAACAGCATGTCAATTCTTAGAAACCACTAGACTACATGCACTCAGATCTAATATTCTCTTGCATGCCTACTGGATGCTCAAGACACTACCACTCCTCCCCAGCTTCCATCCCCTTCTGGGATAACTCCTACATCTTCCCATCATGCTGGATTCATACATCATGTTTGCCATTATATATATGCTGCTCCATTTCTAAATGGGCAGAGCACATCAACGATCCCATTGCCCTTTGAGTTTTACCTTTTGTAACCCAACTCATTAAACTGTAAACTAGCAGTTTTTTTTTTTGCTCTAGGTATTTACCCAGCTTTCTCTAATGGCCTTTCCAATATTGTCACAATACTTTTCAGTGAAATGGTATGTGTGCTATTTTCCATTTCTTGACTAGTTTGCCATATTGTATCGATAGTACAATACTTTTTGTAAGTTAGTCTTGGTTTGTTTATGCATCTTACTCTTCACTGCTTTTTTGTTTGCCACTGTCATCTTCTATATACTGTGTGATGCTTTCATTTTTATTCCTGAGCTATACCTCCCATTTTACTGTGTCTGCTTCTGTATTCACCTCATGCTCCTTAGTTTGTTGTGCCCACAATAATTTAATTACACTACTGATAGTATTCTAATGTTGTAGCTATAGTTTTGCGAATTCTGGGTATATTGAGGTACGTATTTGCATTTCTTGCACTTATACTGTAGTTCAGTTGAAAAATAGTAATAGATGCAATTCTGCTAATAGCTGGGAATTACGTTGGTGGAGAAAGTACACCCCCTCCTTTTTCCCATACTTACCATATCTTACTTTGGGTCTTTGTTCTTAAAGTAGTACAGTACTTTCATGTACTGTTTCAGTATGCTGTCCTGATTTGAATATTAAAATGGTATAAAATATCGACAGGTTGGTAAGTAAGACATATGCAACAATTACGTACCGTTATTCCGAAATATTTCACCTACACAGTAGGCTTCTTCAGTCGAGTATAGAAAAGTTGGTAGAAGCAGTAGAGATGCGAAGATGATGTAATCAGTCCATCTCCCTTGAAGATCATCTCAAAACTATGTCTTCAAGGGTGATGGACTGATTACATCGTCTTCACATCTCTACTGCTTCTACCAACTTTTCTGTACTCGACTGAAGAAGCCTACTGTGTAGGCGAAATGTTTTGGAATAAAGAAAGTAACTGTTGCACATGTGTCTTACTTACCTGTCTTCTTATTTGCATATCAACTGTAGCCTGCCATTTTTTGAGCATATTGCACTGAATTATACCTTGTATGGTAGTTTCTAGCATATCCATTTCAGCAAGCAGTCCATGTGTTTTATACTTAAGGAATAAGGTTTGTTTGGGAAATTTATCTGGTTTGGTGATATCACAGGTCCAGTATTTCAGTTAGAAGGGTACTCCATCCATCTGTCTGCTAAACATAATGAATTTTTATTCACACCAAAAAATAGAAGACTTACTGTTATGCAATATTGTAATAATTGTATAAATAATATCAGCACATTCATAAATGTATATTAGACCCACCAGCTGATGTGTATGTATTAGATGCCTGACATCATTTGTTTACTCTTGAACATCAGCAAAAATTGAACATTAATGCTAATTTGAGCTCAGTTTCAAGCCATTTTCAGTACTAAAACCAATCAAAATCATCTCTATTTCTGTAATATATATTTCATTCTATCAAATGAGATCAAGAAATAGCGAATACAACTGTGAAAAACGTATGAAAAACACTGCAAAATCGATGTTTTAATCCCCAAAAAATACTGCGTGCTGCAGTATTTGTTTCATGTGGTGCACACTTACCACATAATGTATTCGCTCATATCTAGGCCCAAATTTACCACTCACAGCTTATCTGAGTGAGCTGAGCTCAAGCCGTAGTTCTACATCTTGGACCCTGGCTTCAAAGCCGTAGAACTGCGGGATGGACCCCCAAAGGGTTAAACAGAGCCACTTAGGCTAACCAGGCTGGGTATTGGCTGAGTACTGTAATATCATTGGCCAAGTGCCCTAATCCAGACTGATTAGTGGTGAAACCAGTAGTAGCTGTGCTTTTAGTACTAGCAAGGGCTGATTGGAGAACTTTTAGACAGGTTACATAGAGTGGCTGGTAAATGCAGCCCAGATTGTCATTACATTCTTGAAAAGGAGCTTGCAGTACAGTATTGAATAAATTTTCTTTACAATATATGTATGTAAATTTCAGTTAACAACTTCTGCTTGTATTTTACAGGGGGGCGGCACTCTCACCCATCAGCAGCCATGGGGTGTGCGATGAGTACTGCTGCTGACAAAGAAGCAGCAGAAAGAAGCAAAAAAATAGACAAAGATTTGAGACTTGCTGGGGAACGTGCTGCCAGAGAGGTTAAGCTTCTACTTTTGGGTAAGTTCGTAGAAGAAATCTGTTAAACTGACTGTCAGCAAAATCAAGTTAACCTTCTGCCAACTTTATATTTTATTGAAAACTTAATATGGAAAGCAACCTTTGAGGGGATTTTAGTTAGTTTACCACAGCCACGCTGGTAGAAGAGTCATCTGTAAAAACTGCATTTGTGGTCACAGTGGGGCCCATGCTAACTTTCCTGTGGCGTATAGAAATATACCTAGTTGGATGAATCTTATGAGATTCAGTTGTCCAAGTGGCTTATGCACTGGCCTGGAGTTTTAGGACTCGCTTGCCATGATGAAGGTAATGCAGTAAAGGTTCCAGATTTTTTCTCCTGCAGACTATACGTAATGGACTTAGGGAGGACCTGTCTAACATTGACTGTGGTTACTTGGCTGGTAATTTTATCAGTGAAGATCTTACAAACATTAAAGAAGGGACCTTCCAATGACATTTTTCTAAATGTACAAACTGCCTAAAGTACAGTGTGTATACTCTGTCAGGCACATCACAAGTACACCTACCATTCGACTTACAACCTGCTCGGCATGTGACCACTCAACTAACGACTGTGTTTTTTATGCCAAATTTCTGGGAAATAAACAAGTGTTTGTGTTGTACACAGTGTTTATCCTAAACCTTACGGTATAAAATACAGTACTAACAGCATAAAAAGTAAAGTAAAAAATGAAATACCAAAATAAAACAATAAAATAAAATAATTACAAAAGTGTGATGTTGATATTCAGTAGTAAGGTTCGACTTGCATCCATTTTTACTTACGACCGGTTGGTCGGAACCAAGCTTGGTCATAAGTCGGATGGTACCTGTACAACGGCAGTAAGAGGAGCAAGAGGAAGACCCTATTTGAATGGCTGACACAGATCATTAATGTTTTACCATCTTGGCTGACACAAATCATTGATGTTTTGCCGTCTCTGCTTTCATTCTTCATTGATGATGAGGATATGTATACTAGATCAATGCAAGTAGTGAAAACAAAAACAGAAATATGTACCAATTTGGTTTCACCTGAATTTTGTTTTTCATGGTTGAACTAGGTAGCCGTCCGGCAAGCTCTGCTGCAGTTGAGATCTTTCCTTTTGGGAAAATTCATTCTGAGTTAAGAAACAAACTGATAAAAAGACTTAAAACTTGAGGTGTAATAGGATGCTTAACCCCTTGACTGTCGCAACCCCTAATCCTGAGGTGTCTCCTGGTGTCGCAAAATTAAAAAAAAAAAAATTCTTACGAAATGATAGAGAATCTTTTCCCAATTGTAATGGCACCAAAAAAACGAAATTTGATGGAAAACTGACGGAATTACGCTCTCGCGAAGTTAGCGACCTCGGCGATATTTACAAATCTGCGATTTCGCTCACTTTGAGCCCTATTTTCGGCTAATTCCATTGTTCCAGTCGACCAAACTCATGGCTATTTCTGTAGAACTCCGTTTTTTTCTATCAATTGAGTACAAGAAACTGCCCATTTACCGATTTCAACTACCCAATAATATGGTCAGAAATTTGCAATTTGGCCAATTTCATGAAAATTAAAAAATATGGCAATTTCAAAATAAGGTCCAGAATGAACAATGCAGACATTCCTGGCTCTAAAATAACATTTTCTTTGTTCATCAGTCACGTCTCCAGGCCCTTTTGATATTACTCTTGCTTTCTATTTTGAATTTTTATTCAAACAAAAGATAGAAGATTCACTGTTATGCAGATTACTGCAATACTGTAATAATTGTACAAATAATGTCAACCCATTCATGACTGCATATTAGATTGGCTAGTTGGACATTTATTGGACCATGACATCATTTGTTTACTTTTGAATATCGGCAAAAATCAAACGTTTCCCCTACTTTGAGCTCCATTTCCAGGTTCTTTTTATAGTAAAACCAATCAAAATCACCTCTATTTCTATAATATGTTTTCCATTCTATCAAATGAGACCAAGAAAATGAGAATACGCCCATAAATACTATACGAAAATAGACCACAGAGTCGGCATTTTAATTAAAAAAAACGGTCGGAGTTTTTTTTTCTCATGCACTTGGTGCTGCAGGATTTTTTTTTATATGGTGCACACTGACCACACAGACCCATTCTCTCACATGTAGGCCTACCAGCTTGCTCCTGCTTGATTTGAAGCCGCTAGAATTTGAGTATATATACGTCAAACACAGTGGCTCGTAAGACGTATATATACGACCAAAACAGTCAAAGGGTTAAGTGTAAAGATGAGGACTGACAAACACTACAAAGCATGCACAGAATAACAATTTTCACTCAACACTGTCGTAACATACTGTTGTTAATAAAACCTGGTTACTTTAAAGCTATACTTGTGGATTGTAAATTTGTGATATCTACTGCAAACTGTTGTTTAATTATAATTTGTTAAAAATTGTATGTTGTACTGTACAGTACAGTACAGTACAGATATTATTTTACAGAATTGATTTTTTCGCATTTTTAAGCATTGCATTTTCATTTTATACTCTACCTTGAAATATTGTATTGTAATGTATATCTGAATTATGCTACTCAGTATTGATGTATTCAGTAACAGTACAGTACAGTGGTACCTCTGGATACGAACAGCCCAACACTCGAACAATTATGTAAGTGCTTTTGTAAGTGTATTTTTGGGGGTCTGAAACAGATTAATCTAATTTACATTATTCCTTATGGGAACAAATTCGTTTGGTATTGGCACTTTAAATACACTTTCTTTAAATACAGGATACTTTTTGGACCAAAATATATAAAAAAATTTGTATAAAAGATGAGTTAAGTTACTATAATTTTTTGTATCAAAACCATAATAAATACATAATAGCTTTTTGAGTGAAGGTGCCAGGGCTTTTTAAATTAAAATTCCCGTTCCAGGCCAGGTACTGTATTTTACGGCGAAGAAGACGCTCCTGTGTCAAGGAGGCCCTTTCCCTCCCTCCCTCCCCTCAATCCTGACAGGCTAAATTTTGGATAAGAAAGATAAACATAAAAATAAGGCTGCAGAACTTATGGCTATGTTCTCTCTCTACTCACTGTCTCGATGCATGCAAATGGATGTGTCTATGGCTAAGATTGCATATTGATTTGTGGTGTTTATATTGGCTGTTTAAAATAATGAAAAACACCTGCCACTCTAGCATGTTAACATTACTGAGTGAATGTAAAATGTTTCATAGTTACTCAACTGAACACGATTAAAACAAACCTATGATGTGCAAAGGGTGGCTTTTGTGTATTACTATCATATGCTGTAATTTTAATTTTGCTTTTTATATCTGATAATATTCCTTTAATATCAGGATTGTTTGAGGCGAGTAAAAATATTACCGGATGGTCTGATGGTAAACAGGCGAATTAGCCTACTGGTACTACCTGTAGTTCATCCAACTTTATCGCCTAGTTTACCTTAGCCTACCAGTGCTAAGCACCAGAGCTTAGATTCCTGTCCAGTATTGAAGCTGCTCTTTAGGCTTAGGTTGAGTCCTATGAGCAACTTAACTTTTGGCTTCCAAGATGCTGGGTAAATGTTAGAGATTTATTTTGGGGTAAAAAAAGTGTCAACACCATAAAATACGGTAAGTGGATAGCTATCAGGGGAGCTACCCACGACAACCTTGGTGGTAGGAGAGAGAAAGTTAGCATATGCAATACTTTTACATTGTAGTAGTAGTGATTTACAGGGGAAGGTTCACAAGGACCTGACATGTTTATTGCACTGCAGTAAAGTATCTTAGGCAGTAGATAGAGATAAAGAATAAGATATTTACTGGGATTTAGATGAGGCTTTTGATAGTCTTACACAGAATACTGTTAATGAAAGTGGTAGCACAGGTTGTTGGATTAAAGATTCTCATGGATTGAGATATGGCTGACTAGTAGGGGATGAAATCAGAGTTGGGACAAGTCACAAGTGGTATTCCACAAAGATCCTTGTTTGTAATCTACATTAATGGCCTTAATGAGGGAATAAAAAGACATGAATAAATTCACTGACAAAACGATAAGTAGGCCAAATGACAGATTCGAAGGACACTGTTGAACTTTAGGACATATTAATGTTATGGTCCAAAAAATAGCAGATGTAGTCCAGTGTGGAAAGGGGCAAGGTCCTAATCTTAGATGATGAAACTAACCCTCACACTTATAAACCAGGTGATATAGAACTGGTTCATACAGAATGTGAAAAGGACTTTGGAGTCATGGTAAGTAGAAATCTGAAGGTAAGACATACCTTATTATGCATGCCTAATCTTTCACAGTAAGGTTAATGTACTTGGATTTATATCAAGACTTTTAAGTAATTGGAATCCTAAGGTCATTCTGCAGCTTTGTACATTATTAGTAAAGCTTCACATAGATTGTGACTTAGTTTTGGTCTCCATATTATGGAATGATTATCAAGGCTTTGGAGAACATAACGAAGGATGACAAAGTTAATGCACTGTATAAGGAATCTTCTATGTGAAGATAAATTGAAAGCCCTGACCCTACACTCTTCAAGGATGTAGAATGGAAATATGATTGATGTATACAAGTGAAAGAAAGGTTTAGACAAAGAAAAAAATAGGGTGCTAAGAATATCTTACCATTTCTTTCTCAGAACAGTTGATTCAAGTTGGATATGCAAATTTGGATTTAGAAATGATATAGGAAAGTTGAGTTGTGGATGAGCAGAATAATCTGCCTAGTAGAATGATTGAAGCTAACACCTTAGATAGCTTTAAAAATAGGTTATTAAAAATATACAAGAGAAAGGTTAAACTTGGACCTCTTAAGCTTGGGCCATTAAGCCTACTGCAGTGCTCCATTCTTATGTTTTGACAAAGGTCAGTATTTGCTTAATACAGTACAGTAATTTAATGCTTTTATGTAAGTATAGGACCAATACCATTAAAATTACCCAATACTGTCAAAATTAACCAATGCCACTGATACCAAAACTTTGGCACATCCCTACTTTTATACATATTTTTGTGTTTATAGGTGCTGGCGAATCTGGCAAAAGCACAATTGTAAAACAAATGAAGATTATCCACGAGACTGGATATTCACGTGAAGAATGTGAACAGTACCGACCTGTTGTGTATTCCAATACCATCCAGTCTCTCATGGCTATCATCAGAGCAATGGGACAACTAAAGATTGACTTTAAAGACTCCAGTAGAGCGGTGAGTTACTAAAGCCTGCTGTGTTCTTGGCAAACATGGGCTGATCTGTCAAGTACTAAGGAAATGTATGTTTATTTTTACTATGTTGATTACTATATAGCAATAGTAGTTTTAATTCTCCCTTAGAGCAAAACTTGTGTGAGGGTACTGTTTCTTTCTCTGAAGAGAAAAAATCACTTGTAATTAGATTGATATTTTCAGTATGTACATATGTGTTACAATTATAGCACTGACCAAAAAATAAGTTGCTAATGATTTTATATCATAATTAATTTTTATATAGATTTTTAACCAATTATATTAAGTAGTATATAGGAGGGCCCTGTTTATACGGCTGTAAAGTGAAACGTGGCCTTTTATCACTTTCAAATGTGTGTAAAAGCCTGATAACATGTTTGCACTATCATAGATGCCTGATAACATGTTTACTCTCATAAATTAAGTGAGCAATAAGCTAGGCTTAAAAAAATGCACATACAGTACACACTTAAAATATTTTTGTCCTTAGCTTATAGTGAGTGGTAAATATATTATTATTGTAGGAAATCTGAAAAAATGAAGAATGGGTATAGATGAAAACTGTTGCAATAGCGAAACACCATAAAGCAAAGTTCTGTAAAGCGAGGTCCTCCTGTATATTAAAAATTATTTTGGGCTAATATTAGATATTTCCATTGCTGTATGCTAAACTCGTATTTTTTTAGGATGATGCCCGACACTTCTTCACTTTAGCAAGTGCAGCAGATGAAGGTGAATTGACGCCTGAATTGGCCAACATAATGAAGCGCTTATGGAATGAGAGTGGTGTCCAGCACTGTTTTAGGTATGTGGGGGGATGGGGCAGTGAATGTTGCATAGCACCTTTAATTGTATGCTTGGTAATCATATAAACAAATATACTCACAGATCTATGAATTTATTTTTTATAGTTTGGAACTTTGATTGCTAGCTTTCTTAATTTTAAAAGAATTCTACCTTCATCCTAATTTTTTCTCTAGCTTTACTACCTTTTTAGCAGATAATTTTGCAGATTATTTTGAATGTTCATACTGTGTTCATTTTTTATATCTTCTCGTTTTTAATTTAAGCCAGGCATTTATGACAATGTATAGCAGACAACAGGGTAATCTCATAACTTATTTAATGTTTGAACTACTGTACATATTTTGTACATAATTTTTATGCACTAAACTTTTCTTTTGTTTTCAGTCGGTCGAGGGAGTACCAGCTGAACGACTCTGCTGCCTATTACCTCAATGCTTTGGACCGCATTGCTCGGCCTGGTTATGTTCCCACTCAGCAGGATGTCCTCCGCACCAGAGTTAAAACAACAGGCATTGTTGAAACCAATTTTTCCTTCAAGAACTTAAATTTCAAGTAAGTATGCACTCTAATGATAAATCTTCACTTTTTAATACCAGGACTCTTATATTGTAACCAAACAATAATTTTTTTGTCATAATTCTAGTCAGAAGTTACTATTGAGCAGGTTGTCTCGGCACTGTTTCTATGTACGTTCATAATCTTTCTTAATTTTACTTAACTTTTCTGTTGCCTTTCTAATAAAGATTTTCTATTAGTATAAAGACAGGAGTGAAAATTTAGAATATTACTCTACTTCTAAATTATTATTTTAGATTTTTGTAAGATGCTTTGAGATTTTTTAATGCTTTCCTGAAAAGGATCAGCAAATTTGTACAAGTCTTTGGTGAACAGTGGTAGTAGCATTATAAAAACTGGAGATTATCAGATATTTTCTTAATTACCATAGTTCTCAAAAATATTTCATTTTTTCTTTTTTTTTACCTTTTGTGATCTCAGGTGCTGCACCTACTATGATGAATCTCTTCAAAGTTTTTTATTCCGTAATGTATGTGTTCAAATTTAACTTCCATAGCAAGCTTTAGTATTTTTGATTAAGTGCATAATTGTCAGTGTGATCACCCACATATATTCAGTGCTATTAACCCCTAAACGGTCCAAACATATATGTACGTTCTCTTGCCCAGTGCCCTGAATATTTTGAAAAATACATTTTTTTTCATTGAAATAAAGAAAATCTTTCTAAGTGTTATAGGATTAAAATAAAAAAAAAATAGGGTCAGTACTTACTGAGGTATGAGGCTGCAAAGTTGGCACTTAATGCTCACCTGACGGCAACATCGAGTCCTGCCGCTTGCGGAAGTGCTGCTGATATACCTTATTTTTCTCATTTTTATATTATTTTATATAATTTTTGTGTTCTGATAATTACAATTTATTGTAGTTCTTGTCATTTCATAACCAATCTTTGTTCTGACACTAATATTAGGTACTGAAATTGTACTCAGAGTGTCACAAACACATTGGCAGGTGGACATTTACACCTGCCTTGGGATGACATTTGATGGGCGCCGGCGAGGGTGCAGAGATAAGATAAGGGGTGACATTTGATGAGCTCATATCTGTCTCTGGTTATCCGTCTCTGTCTGCTTGTCTCTTTCCGTCTCTCTGCTTGTCTCTCTGTCTCAGAGAGAGCCACTGTGAACCAACAGGTATTCTTATATAAGCATTATATCTACAAGCACAGTATAGCACTTCGGATCTTTTAGGTTATCCTAGGTAATTTACACTATGTATAATTGTATTTGTGTGTACCTGTGAGACAGATACAGAGAGAGAGAGGTAGACAGACAGAGACAGATAGAGAGACCCTAAACTTGGGGTTAACATCACTTTCCTCTTAAAAGGGGAGTGTTAATATGACATTACATCAGTGAATCCTTGGTGTTTGCCGCACTGTTTGCTCTAGCTGGCGCTCAGTTTAACTGGCGCTCCCACAAGGTACTAAGTGGTCCCAGATTTTTTTAATATGGTGCACACCGAGTGTTAAGACCCATTCTATGCTGACCTGGCATCTCAGGCCAATCGTACCAAATTTGCAGGCAGGAAAAATAAAATGTATGTATGTGTTTGGGGCGCTTGCAGTAAGAACGTATATAGTATACATTTGGACCATTTAGAGGTTAATGAATCTACGAGAAGCTTCAAGTAATTAGTACAGAAGCGTCATATCCTGTATTAATAGTAATGTAATAATTACATATTGGATTGTTGCGCCATATTTTACCAATATGGTAAAAAATGGAATGATTTTTCTTTTTTTTTTTTTCTGTCTCTGTCTCTCTCTCTCTCTCTCTCTCTCTGTCTGTCTGTCTCTCTCTCTGTCTGTCTGTCTCTCTCTCTGTTCTCTCCCGTCTCTCTCTCTGTCCTCGTCTGTCTCTCTCTCTGTCTGTCTCTCTCTCTCTCTGTCTGTCTTCCTCCTCTCTCTCTCTCTCTCTGTCTCTCTCTCTCTCTCTCTCTGTCTCTCTCTCTCTCTCTGTCTCTCTCTCTCTGTCTGTTCTCTCTCTCTCTCTCTTTTCTCTCTCTCTCTCTCTGTCTCTCTCTCTCTCTCTTCTCTCTCTCTCTCTGTCTTCTCTCTCTCTCTCTCTGTCTCTCTCTCTCTCTCTCTCTGTCTCTCTCTGCTCTCTCTCTCTGTCTCTCTCTGTCTCTCTCGTCTCTCTCTCTGTCTCTCTCTGTCTCTCTCTGTCCTCTCTCTGTCTCTCTCTCTCTCTCTCTCTCTCTTCTCTCTGTCTCTCTCTGTCTTCTCTGTCTCTCTCTTCTCTCTCTCTCTCTGTCTCTCTCTCTCTCTGTCTCTCTCTCTCTCTCTCTCTCTCTCTCTGTCTCTCTCTCTGTCTCTCTCTGTCTCTCTGTCTCTCTCTGTCTCTCTGTCTCTCTGTCTCTCTCTGTCTCTCTCACTCTCTTGAGTGTTTGACTAATGCCAGGGATACTTATTTGGTAGATGTTTTGTCTCCATTTTTGCGAGTCACAAGTTTTCTGTTGTAGGCTGTTTATGATTGATAAAAATTGGTGTACAAATCTGAGATAGAGGCAAGGTGTAAGGGATTTCCTAGGTAGGGTTATGAAAAGAGTTTGAAAGGTAATAGCTGCTGTATCTAAAAAGCTATTGTTAGTTCCTTGTTTGTAGTGGCTAATAAGCATTTGTAAAATTATAATTGGTTTTCAGTTCTGATAATCATACATATGGAAACCCCTGTATATGAAGGTGTTCAGGGCTTACACACATTACAGTATTATTATTTCCTAAGAGGATGGACCTGATGAACTGTTGGAGTGTGAGCAGGGTAATATTTTGCGAAGGGATTTAGGGAAACTGGTTAGCCGGACTTGAGTCCTGGAGGCGGGAAGTACAATGCCTGCACTTTCAAGGAGGGGTTTGGGATTTTGGCATTTTGGAGTGACATCTAAACTGTCATATCCGAGTGCCTTTGCAAAGATAGTGATTGTGTGGATGATGGTGAAAGTGTTTTTCTTTTTTTGGGTCACCCTGCCTTGGTTGAAAGAAGAAGTTATTGACATGTTTAGTATTTCTCTATGTTAACCCTTTCACTGTTGTGACCCCCAAAATTAAAAATCCTGACAGTGATGGGATTTAAAAAAATCCGAAATGGTAGAGAATCGTTTCTGAAGGTAATGACACCAAAAATACAAAATTGGATGGAAAATGGGAAACTTGTGTAATTATGCAAGTGCAGAGTTGGCAGTCTGGGTGCAATTAATGTATCAACAGTTTCACCCACTTTTAGTCCTATTTTAAGCTCAGTTCAACCAATTTCTTAGCTCATATCTTTCATTCTTTTGAGAGGGCACAAGAAACTGCCCATTCAACTATCAGAACTACTCTATAAAGTGCACAGAAGATGGTAATTTGGCAAATTTTACAAAAATCAACAAATATTTTAACCCTTTGAGGGTCCGTGCCGTAGTTCTACAGCTTTGAATCCAGGGTCCAAGCCGTAGTACAACATCATGAGCAAAGCTTACTCAAATAAGCTGTGAGCGGTAAATTTGGGCCTAGATATGAGATAATGCATCTGTGTGGTAAGTGTGCACCATATAAAAAATCCTGCAGCACGCAGTGCATAATGAGAAAAAACTGCGACCATGTTTTTGGGTTAAAACTGCAACTTTGTGGTATACTTTCTTATGGTTTTTATGATTGTATTTGTGGTTTCTTAGTCTCGTTTGATAGAATGGAAGATATATTACAGAAATGGGAATAATTTTATTGGTTTTAGTACTCGAAATAGCTTGAAATTGAGCTCAAAATAGCGGAAATGTTTGATTTTTGCTGATGTTCAAGAGTAAACAAAAGACATCACGCATCCATTATATGTCAGCTGGTGGGTCTAATGTTCATTCATGAATGCTCTGATATTATTTATACAATCATTACAGTATTGCATAATAGTAAATCTTCTACTTTTTGGTGTGAATAAAAATTTTGTGAATAAAATATAAAAATGGAATTCATATGTAAAGCCTGGAAATGCAACTAATTAACAGAGGAAGTGATATTTTAGTGCCAGGAATGCCTGCATTGTTTATTCTGGACCCTGTCTTGAAAGTGGAATATTTTGAACTTTGTGTGAAATTGGCCAAATTGCCAATTTCCGATAATTTTATTGGGTAGTTGAAATAGTTGATTGGGCAATTTCTTGTGCTGAATGCATTAAACGGAATATATACTAGCGAAATAGCTAAGAATTTGGTCTAATGGAATAATGTAATTGGTTGAAAATAGGACTCAAAGTGGGCAAAATCACTGATGCATAAATATCCCTGACACGGAAAATTTTGCGAGAGAGTAATTTTGTCAGTTTTTGATCAGATTCTGTACTTTTTGTTTTACTACCTTCAGAAAAAGATTCTGTACTTTTTCATAAGAATTTTTTTTTTTTTTTTAAGTTTTTGGACCCTGTGGGGAATTTTTAGATTAGGGGTCTGGACCCTCAAAGGGTTAAAAGCTGAATCCAATATATACTATGCATTCCAGCAAGTAAAGCAAAATATATTCTGTTTATTAATCACATCTCCATGCCCCTCCTATATTACGTTTTACCCTATTTCTATGATTAATAAAATATAACCTAGAATGATTGGTCATGATTTAGGACAGGGAGTTGGGGAGGAGCCTTCCCTTTTCCCAGGAAGATTGTCAAAAATTTAATATTTTCCGTATTTTGATCCTTATTTCGAGTTGCCTCTGGTCCTCGCTATTTCCATAGTATGTCTTCCATTGTATCAAATGACACCAAGAACCAGCTAATAAAACCATAGAAACACCTTAGAAAGCACCTCAAGAGTTGCTATTTTGTTCTAAGCACTAGGTTATGGGCTTGCTTTTTCCATCAAGCACTATGTGGGGCTGTATTTTTTTTATACTGTGTGCACTCACTGCACATACAAGACAAAGACAAACAATAACAAACATAAGACATAACAAGACAAAGATCACGACAGCCAGGAAGATGACTGGGTGGGTATTGAGAACTTTC